TTGGGAAACAGTTGGTACTTAGAAAATTAGGTAGAGTATGCACTGTAAATTTTGTGGATATACAGTGTGTGGTGTTGGATGTATGCAGACGAGAGTTTTTTGATTGTGGGGGGAAAGATTGTGTGGATTGAAAAAAAATAGGAGGGAGAGTATTGAGGGATGGAATACATATACTGTGGATTGCTTTTTTTTGGTTTTGTTTTTATGCATCGATCCTCAATCTCATCCAACAACCAATGAAAATCAAGCATAGTATATTTTAATATTTTTTTGTGACTAAAAAGCCCTTTAATGACAAAAATAAAAATAAAACTTGAAAGTATAAAAAAACTCAATTTAAAATGATTTTTTTGAATACTTTATGAATAAAAAATAAAGACACAAAATGACCGAAAACGATAAAAACCGGACGAAAATTTATCCGAAAAAATAAAATGAACACATTAAAATAATCTACATGTCACAAAGATTAAAGAAAAAATATTCAAGAAGTCAAAAATCAAAAATAAAATAATAATAATAAAAATATCAGACTAAACAGACGTTTAAGGTTAAAACGAGACTTCGAACTATACCGAAAAATAAAGTGAGCATACCATCATAATCTACGCGAAGCGCAGATTCATAAAATGATCGGTAAAAGGTGAAAACTTGAAATATTTTCTCGCTACTTTCCCGCATAGTGTCGAATCGCTTTTAACAGTCTGTCTATAAAACCAAAATATTTTTATTATCGACATATAAACAACTTGGAGCAGTGCAAGAAAATAGTAAACAGATAAAAATGAATGAAATGAAATGTCGGGAATTTTACAACTGAAAGACGATGCAAACTTTGATTTAAACTGACTTTTTCTGGTCAACTTAAATACGACTAATGATGTAAAATGTGATGAATGAAGATATTTACTAATGATTGTGACCAAATAACAAAATATGATATGAATGTGCGACTGAAACATATTAGGGGCGAAATTTAGGGTGCAACAGTTGTGCCTTGATGAATCAGTCTTCGAGAATCCATAATCAACCGTACTTTTGGCTTGGGAGACTCAAAACCTTAATTGAGGCGCGACACCTGATGCTCTTGATTCAGACCTGTCTCTGCACATGACACAAAAGAAAACATGAACATACACCTTTGTATGCGATTAGAAATTAGTGATGCATAGGCTAAAAATGTTCAAAACACTTGACAATCTTCGCATAGTCAACGCTCGAAGGTGAGAGGTTAAAACCGACCGTATTTAGTGACCTTGACTTATCTTTAAAAAAATGCAAAAATAAAAATGGGATCTTAGGTCAAAAATTGGGGTACAACAGTTAAGATTATGTCCCCCGTGAAGTCGCCAAACAACAGACTTTTTATGTCACTCTGGATGGCATCTGTAAGCCCATCTCGGACAAATTATTTATCACTTCTCCAAATGGAAACTTTAAGCCCATTCACTACACAATCAACCAACCAATCATCAAGTGAAAATTCCTGGGTCCTCTAGTGTTCAATCATCTTCCACCTTCAAATCACGAATGGCGAACCCTTCAATCTAACTCTTCAGGTTTAAGAAGATTGAATAGTGGATGTTGTTGTACCCAAAAACCTCCCCTCTCTTTTTCAAGAAATTACTCACAATTGATCTCTAATTCTCAAGGATTCTCAAGGAATTGATCAGAAAAAATAATCTACGAAGCACTGGGACTCCAAATTAGGGTTTTGACTGAGAATGACCAATCTTTGACTTTTGACCTAGTAAATGACTTATTGGTTCGAAACATGATCTCAAGGGTTCAAGTACATCATTTTGGATTAATCTCATATTTCAATTCATCTCCCGAGATCAGTGGATTGATAGATGAAATTTGGTCCACCGATGAAAAAGTTAATTGTACACTAAAAAGTCAAAATTTGACTTTTTGGTCGAATTTGAGTTTCCAAGGTCACATTTCATCAAGACAATTCAAAGTGTGGAATTTGATCATCAAAAAAATCAAGAAAGTCAAAAGTCATTTTGAAAAGTCAAACTTTGCAAGACTTAGAATTTTTTTCAAAGTTGTTTATGTACATGTTAATTTCATGACTTCTTTTCACCACAATTCAAGATAATCCAAGTTGTTATAAGTTTTCAAGTAAATGACAAGGCTGCATTTTTTAAGTTAAGAATTGCAAGTTACAAATCCTAAACTTTGTCTTGTTTGAACTTTTCCTTTTGACTCAATCCACAAACATGCCTTGTCTTTGTTACAAGTTGCAAAACCAAACCAAACTTGTATCATGCTACAAACAAAGACATCCAATTTATTGTTGTATAAAGCCCAAAGTTTGCACCAACCAGTGCAAGCGTATCAATCCAAAACCTATTGTTCTTACACAAAGCAGTCCATTCAAAACCAGTCCTGTTATGCTGCCTCTAAACACTGCCACAGCCTGCTCCCAAAACCTGCTATGTTGTCCAAGCCTACACTATATCAGTCCCCATATTTGCACTAAATTAGCATATAAGAGCTGCATCTAAAATCTATGAGACAACATACCCAAAAATTTCAAAAACTCATTTGTTTCCCAATCAAATTTTAGCCAACTTCATCTACAAATAGATTGTTTTCACAACACACAAAGGGAGGATTTTTTATAGAAGAAAGAGAGAAAAGAGAGAAAAACAGAAGTCTTTGTAACCTTTGTTCATTTAAAAAACTCAGCTCTATTTTCATTCACTAAACAGAAAATACTAAACCCATTGTTCCACCTTGCAAGTTTTCCCATAAACCAACTATCCAAACACTTCATATCACATAGAGATTGTTCGAACATAAGAACAATTTTTATAGTGCCATTATCATCACCTTTCAAACACAAAAAAAGATAGTATTGTATAACTTGACTGGTTTGGAGTTGGTTCAGCAGCTTTTAATACAAAGGAAGGCTTGAAGCAGCTTCCTGGAGGGTCACTAAAGCCACCACAACATCTTGGAAGAAGTTCTGATTCAAAACAAATTGAAGTCTCAAGGTGAGTCTTCTTAACTTTGAGCTTTTCATTTCAAACATCATTGGTGATTCATTTTTTGAGGATAAAATGTAGCAATCATTTCCTTTTGAAGATAACCATTTACTTACTTTTCATTTTTGTTAATACAATGTTGACAACTGACCTGTATACACAATAGAATAATGTTTAAGGCAAAAAACTACACCATGAGTCGACACATAGTCACATGAGTCATCTCATTTTAGTGACAGAACAGAGTATGAGTCGACACAAGGCCTTATTCATCGATACATACTGTTGTACCCCAATTTTTGACCTAAGATCCCTTTTTTTTTGCATTTTTTAAGATAAGTCAAGGTCAAGAAATACGGTCGGTTTTAACGTCTCACCTTCGAGCTTTGACTATGCGAAGATTGTCAAGTGTTTTGAACATTTTTAGCATATGTATCACTAATTTCTAATCGCATACAAAGGTGTATGTTCATGTTTTCTTTTGTGTCAGGTGCAGAGACAGGTCTGAATCAAGAGCATCAGGTGTCGCGCCTCAATTAAGGTTTTGAGTCTCCCAAGCCAAAAGTATGGTTGATTATGGATTCTCGAAGACTGATTCCTCAAGGCACACCGTTGCACCCTTAATTTCGCCCCTATTTTTTTTTCAGTCGCACTTTCATATCGTATTTTGTCATTTGATCACAATCATTAGTAAATATCTTCATTCATCACATTTGGCATCATTAGTCGTATTTAAGTTGACCAGAAAAGTCAGTTTGAATCAAAGTTTGCATCGTCTTTCAGTTGTAAAATACCCGGCGTTTCACTTCATTGATTTTTATCTGTTTACTATTTTCTTGCAGTGCTCCAAGTTGTTTATATGTCAATAATAAAAATATTTTGGTTTTATAGACAGACCGTTAAAAGCGATTCAATATTGTGCGAAAAGATAGCGAGAAAAATATTTCAAGTTTTCACCTCTTACCGATCATTTTATGAATCTGCATGACGCGTAGATTATGACGGTATGCTTGCTTTATTCTTTCGGTACAGTTCGAGGTCTCGTTTTTAACCGTAAACGCCTGTTTAGCCTGATATTTTAATTATCATTTTATTCCGATTTTTGACCTTGTTGAATATTTTTTCTTTAATCTTTGTGACATGTAGATTATTTTAATGTGTTCATTTTATTTTTTCGGATAAATTTTCGTCCGTTTTTTATCATTTTTGGTCATTTTGGGTCTTTATTTTTTATTCATAAAATATTCAAAAAAATCATTTTAAATGGAGTTAATTTTAATGCATTTAGTTTTTTGGTTATTTTTATCATTTAAGGGCTTTTTGGTCATAAAAAATTATTTGTTAAACTGTGCTTTATTCTGATTGGTTGTTAGAGAGTGTAATGGATCGATCCAGAAATAGCAAATGAATTGCAAAACAAAAGTGAAATTTCCTCTTGATCTGTCTATATAAACACTTCTTTCTTTTCTTTGTTAAGGGGGGGAACACAATAATAAACTCTCTCTTTCTCTCATTAACCCACTCACTACACACATTCCTTTCCATTCTTTTTTTTACTCACATTCACACCATAACAACATCCCTTCAATTTCCTCACCAATTACACTCTCTGCTAGTTACCCTTCGCGCAAACTCCCTCTGTACCCCTCCGCTCCAGCTTCGTACTCACCAAAACCACCTCAATTCCATCGTTACTTCAGAACCCATACGCGATTCATCTTCCAATAGCTCTACCAGCAACATCCTCCGCTAGTAATTCACAACAGCACCGCCTAACCTTCCGCCCTCATCAACCCAGTGCCACACATCACCTCACAAGCTTCTACTTCCTCCATCAATTATATGCACTTCCCTCAACATCCCAACCTCAAAAGACCCATGTTCCCAACCTTCCTTCCACAATGCAACCCTGTGTGACTCCTCAAAACCCTTCCACCTCCTTCCTCAACAAACTCTCCATCTGAGCCACAACTTCCTCCTAAGGAAAGAGAAAGACGAGTTCCTATGACAAGGATTCGAAAACGGGTTGCCACACGATTGAAAGATTCCCAAAACACATATGCTATGTTGACAACCTTCAATGAAGTTGATATGTCTAATTTAATGAAACTCCGTGCTGATTATAAAGATGCTTTTCTTGAAAAGCATGGAGTCAAATTGGGGCTTATGTCTGGATTTATCAAAGCTGCTGTCAATGCACTTCAACATCAACCGATTATAAATGCAGTCATTGATGGGGATGATATTATATACGGAGATTATATTGATATCAGCATAGCTGTTGGAACCCCAAAGGGACTTGTTGTGCCAGTTATCCGGAATGCTGATACAAGGAACTTTGCGGATATAGAAAAACAGATCAACACTTGTGCAAAGAAAGCCAATCCTGGAACTTTATCTATTGATGAGATGGCTGGAGGTACTCTAACAATATCAAATGGTGGTGTTTATGGCAGCCTTTTAAGTACCCCTTTTGCATCCATACTCCCTCTCTAAATGCTCACCAACAAACACCAACAAACACCAACGAACCACCACACTCCTCTGAAACTTTTTTCATTTCCGTTATGTAGAAAAACCCTAATCATAATCATGCTTCTCAAAACCGCCGTAACCGCTTCTTCTTCTCCCTCAATTTCTCTCTTCAATTCTGAAAACTCGCGTTTGGTTCCGTCTCTTCATAAACCGAACCGATTAGCGGTTTGTGCTACGAAAGGCTCTAGCAATAACCGTGTTTTAACTGGTGTGTTGTTTGAACCTTTTGTAGAGGTTAAAAAGGAACTTGATCTTGTTCCTGTTTCTCCACAAGAGTCTCTTGCTCGCCATAAATATCATGCCGAATCTGAAGCTGCTATTAACGAACAAATCAATGTGGAGTATAATGTTTCGTATGTTTACCATGCGATGTATGCGTATTTTGATAGAGATAATGTTGCGCTAAGAGGTCTTGCTAAATGTTTTAAAGAATCAAGTGAAGAGGAAAGAGGGCATGCTGAGAAATTGATGGAATATCAGAACAAAAGGGGTGGAAGAGTGAAGTTGCAATCTATAGTGACGCCGCTTTCTGAGTTTGATCATGCTGATAAGGGTGATGCGTTGTATGCAATGGAACTTGCACTCTCATTGGAGAAGCCAACAAATGAAAAACTCCTTAACCTGCACAGTGTTGCCTCAGAGAATGGTGATGTAAACTTGGCAGACTTTATGGAAAGTGAGTTTTTGGGTGAACAGGTGGAAGCCATCAAAAAGATATCCGAGTATGTTGATCATCTCAGAAGAGTTGGCAAAGGACATGGTGTATGGCACTTTGATCAGGTTCTTGCTTAATGAGGTAGCAGCTGCAGCTATAGCCCAGAAGAATTCTGAGGCCACAAGAGGTATAGCGGTGCAATATGAAATTTTGGTGAAGGAGAAGATGATAACAATGCCTGAATCTGATGAAACCAACTCATAACCCTCAGCATAAATTTCCCCATTTCGGCACTATCAATGTTAACTTGTCTCCTTTTGCTATTTGTTCAACGACAACAACAACTCCATTTCCAATTCCATTTTGGTGAATTGGTAAGATTCAATTTCCCTATTACCTTTGCATTTAATTTCTTCCATTTGTGTTAAACTGAATATTGAAGATGTTAATTTGAAGTCATCTGTGCTATTTTTTTAACGATGGAGTTATGCTTGCATTGTTGCGATTGGTGCTAAAATTGAATGGAAATATTGATATCAATTTGGTTTTATGATAAGGTGTGTGTAGAATTGGATTTTGTGGTTGTTGTCTAAGTATTTGTTCGAAATTATTGATGTCAATTTTGGTTGTTGAATCTAGCTTTGAATTTTAAGGACGACATTGTCTTCTAACTTAAGTTGATTCAAGTATTGAAAATGATATTGGAATTGGATTAAATTATTCAAGTTGAATTTGAGACTTTTCTTTGATTTTGGAGCACCGACATATTGTCGAGTTGCTGCCCGGATTTATCCTTGTTGAAACTTGCACTCCAAACTTATTTTCATCACTTTTTGGACTTAATGTAATTTTGACATGAGTTGATTAATTTGGAATTGTCGGTGTTGATGTTGTTTTATTGTTTAAGTTGTTTTAAAATTTGTTTTGATGATGCTTCAAATTGAATTCAATTCACAAAGTTTGTTGGTTTAATATTAGTGTTTGTACATAAGTTTTGAATCACTTGAAAATTGATTTTCATGAGCTTTTTGTGCATAATTTGTTGTTGTCCAACTTTTGATAATGCTGATTTTTTGTGTTTACATTGAACAATATCATGAATTCTTGATTTTGATTTGTGTAAATATTTATTTGTTCATATGCATCATACGAGTTCATTTTGATTTTTATACTTTGTGATTACTAACATAAATTCAAATCTTGTTACAATTTCGTTTCATTTTAATTTATATACCGCTTATGCTACTAACAAGTTTGCTTACTGTGAAGGTTTTCGAGAGTAGTTTCAAGCGTTTGTTCCCGCGTAGCACATTTATAATTTTTCTTTATTCCCTTTTTACCTTACTATTTTGATTTAATATTTGGTACTGTAAATATATACTTGTACATAATATTTTGACTGTATGTTTTACTTGTAAATAAATTCAGGTTTTGAAAATATTATTTTCATCGCATTGTGATTTTATTTTTAATTCCAACTAACTTCTGAAAATTGTGCGGACGCACATAAGTTTCCAGTGCTGTTAGATTTTGTCGGTATATCTCTTGTGATGCAGGGATTCTTATCTGACACCGTGAGCTTTATCCACCGCCTTTGCGCTTTATCTGATGCTTGGAGTATTATCTCACATTAGGTTTTTTGATGATGCTGTCGGCTTGTGATTTATTTTCACCTAAGGTTTGATATACTCTTAGCTTATTTATCCGTCTATGGTTTTAACTCCAAGGGAAAGATTTAAATTTGTTGACTTCACGTCATCTAATGCATCTCATCCGATCGTGCGAATACCCTTTTTTCCATTTTTTTGTTTGTTTACTATTTTGCTAAACTCAAGATAATTTTTCCAAAAGACCCCATTTTCAAACTCACACCTTTTAAGTCAAAACTTCGACACTAGGTCGTCGTATCTTAAAAAATCTCGTCCATACCCATCTTTTAGCCAAACGAATCATTTTAATCAAACAAACAATTTTAAACCAAAAAACAGATATTTCAAAAGGTTTCTGCGGAGTACCGCAGATGCATTGGGTGCTAATACCTTCCCATTGTATAACCAACCCCCGAACTCTCGATCTCTTTCAAAAACGCATTGTATTTTTATTACTTTTAAGTATTATTTTACATTGCATATTTTAGGGTTTTATTTCGCTCTTTTCCCTTTTCCCTTGGAACTAATAAAGCGCGGTGGCGACTCTTGCTTTTGCGAGTCAAGTTAATTAATAGTTTGATCTCTGATTTTCACCGCTACACATACTGCTATCCAGACCCAAAACAGAAAGACAAAAGGTGCATAAGTCAACACAAAACACGAATGTGTCGACACAAACAAGAAATGAGTCGACACATCCCATTATACATCGACTCATACTGCGTTGATTATGATTTTTTTCATAAATAGGAAGTGGAATAAGTCGACAATCCCACTATGCATTGACTCATATTGAGTTGATTTGGATTTTTCAGAAACAGGAAATGGCATGTGTCGATGCATGCAGCTATGCGTCAATACATAAAGTTTATTTTACTTTCTTTGTACACTATTTTCCTTTTATATTTTTTTATTTCTATTAATTTTATTCAATACGGTTTTAACAATTTAATTAGGCCTATGCTTCATCCCCATTTGTAAGTTGTACCCCTATCCCCCAAGTGATGTAATAGCTTAGGATTTTAATTTCTGCAATTTACCACTTTAATATAATTGTTAGTAATTAGGGTGTGTATGGTAAGATAAAATCAACCATTAGAAAACCCTAATCTCAAAGACAAAAATGCATGCAATTAAACACACTTTACACACGCGCACCTCTAGGGTAACCTCGCTTGTTGCCTTAGAAAATAGTCATGTCCCTCAAATATGGGAAATTTTAGCAAAAACCCTCGATAAAATAATCGTAGTACCTCGATGACCCTTCGATGTTGCCTTCGGTAAAACAATCTTAGTCCCTACGAAAATTGTTAAAGCGTATCATAAGTTTCCTTCTATAACTACACGACGACCCACGTCCGTCCCTTCATATCCGATAATGGGGCTTCTTACTAATAAATGGTAAGATAGCAACATCTGAAGGAGGAGGAAAAGAACAAAGATCCTTTTGAGTAGGTAGAACTCTTGTAGTTTCTTGCTCAAAAACTAAAACCATCTTCACACTCATACTTTGTATATATTACATCTTCAAAAATAAACATCTCTTTGAACTATTTTCGAAACCAACACTTTGTATACATTCTTATAGAGACGAGAATCATTACAAAGTTTGCCGAAACAAAGGCATTTTCAAAATATTTTCAAACTCATACCAATCACAAAAACATTTCAAATAAAGCATTTTCAAAGTGATCAAGCAACTAAGATCCCATAGATAACTACGGATGAAAAGGGTGCTAACACCTTCCCTTTTCATAACCTACCACCCGAACTCAAGAAAATATCTCAAAAGGTCTTTCATGTTCTTTTCACCCTTTCCTTTATTGGATAAAAGAAAATTCGGTGGAGACTCTTGCTAACCGCAATAATTGCGATAAAACGAAAAACATCCAAGTCAGTTCTCCCACCGTATTACACTCCCCCTTTGGAAAATTTTTGCTAAAACATTATTTGAGCACATTATCAGAGCATTATCAGAGCAGCAGCATAAGCAAGCAAAAACAAAAACTCAGTTAGTGTGATATGGTGGCAGAATCGACTGTTATATTGGTTTGCATTTTTTGTTCGCAAATGTCGCAGTAAGCAAGAGTCGCCACCAACTTTTCTTTTATCCAACAAAGGAAAGGGTGAAAAGAACAGAAAAATACATTTTTCGAGATTTTCTAAGTAAGGGGTAGATTATGGAAAGGGAAGGTGTTAGCACCCTTTCCATCTGTGGTTTTCCACGGGCTCTTAGGTACTTGCTCATTTTTTAAAACTGTTTTCGTGTTTGTGTGTTTTGAAAGGTTTTATTTGCTTTATGATAACTCTTGTATCAGTCCTCAAGAGTGTGATAAAGCGTTTTTGAAAAGAAGTTTTGAAAGTGTTTAAGTGTAAAAAGGGAATCAGATTTGAGCAAGTACTTAAGAATTGTCTACCTCCTCGAAAAAGGGTATTCTTTTCCTCCTTTCCTTTAGATAGTGCTACACTACTATTAGTGAGTAGGTAGCCATATCGTTGGATGTTGAGGGACTATCGAAAGGGACTTTTATGGTCATTGAAGGCAACATGTAGAGATACCTTAGCGGTTCGCAGGGACTTCCATCATATAGGCAACATCGAGGGACAAGATCATTTCTCGTAAGCAACTCGAGGGACATTAAGGGACCATGATATTT